ACCTCTGCTATAGCTTTGCATCCTCAGTCAACTCAGGAGCGTGGGGTATTACGCCCCCCATCCCCCCCGGCCCCGCGGGTCGGGCTGGGAAATTCTGGGAGTTGAAGTCCACACATCTTCAAGCTGCCAAGGTTGAGAAACACCGAGTTACTGTATACATAAATTACAGCAACTGGCACATTTCCAAGTGGGTTAATTACTTAATGCAGATCCAGAAGGGTGCTAAAGGTAGTTTTATAAGCTGGCCCTCCCCTTTTCAAAACCCAGCCAGGCTCTCTCTCTCTCTCTCTTGGGCACCTGGGAATTTAGCTTTTATCTGGAGTTTGTGGGAAACACCTTGGGAGACCGGGCCAAGAGAGGTTGCCAAGGGAACGGTCAGATAAGAGACAGCACAGCCCGCAGCTGGATAGTGGGTAGGGCAAGAAGCTCAGAAGGGACCCTCCCTAATTTCTCGGGCTGTAAGATGGGGGGAGAGATGTACTTTCAGACTTGCAAGATTCTGTCCACGTAGCTTTACAATAAAGTAGCATTAGTTCATCTGGTTGTGATTCCTATCTGGTTTACCCCGCGAGGCCGACATCAATCTTGCAAGTCTGAAAGTGCAATTCTGCCCCTGGTCTCCTTTACGGGAGAAACTAGGGAGGGTCCCTTCTGAGCTTCTTGCCCCACCCGCTATCCAGCTGTGGGCTATGCCGTCTCTTATCTGACTGTTCCCTTGGCAGCGTCTCTTGGCCCGGTCTCCCAAGGTTTTTCCCACATACCATTACAGGGCCCCAGAGGATCCGGTGCCCGGTCTGAGTAAATGGAAGGGAGAGGCTGGTTATCAAACAACCATATCACCAGTGATAAAGGGGAAAGAAAGTCTAGAACACATCTGCCAACTTCTTATTTTCTTTCATTAGCTCTTCCTCCTCTGCTTTTTACAATGGGTCGACATGCATATATTACCAAGCTATAATTTTTTGCTTTTCGGTTGCTGGCACGGCCTTGCATTATCATTAAATCAGGCCAACAGGATTTTGAGCCTTGTGGTTTCATAGGCTTTAGGATGGCCCTGGGCCCTACTTTACAAGGAACACAGTTTTGTGTTGGAAAAGCAGTCTAGGGCAGCGTTTCTCAACCTCGACAACTTTAAGATGTATGGATTTCAACTCCCAGAATTCCCCAGCCAGCCTAGGGAATTCTGGAATTTGAAGTCCACACTTCTTAAAGCAAGCTGGCTGGGGAATTCTGGGAGTTGAAGTCCACACATCTTAAAGTTGCCGAGGTTGAGAAACACTGGTCTAGGGCACATCTAGCACAAAAGAGAGTTGTTATCCATCATTCCCTGAATGAAGATGATGCCGATACTGGGGTTATGTTACCTTATTAGGGCATAAGGTATTGCTCTTTATTTATTTAATTTAGATGTCCAATTTGTCAATATATATTGAACGACTCTGGGCCGTTTACCGAACAGTGAAAATCAATTAAAATGACAAAATTGCAATCTACTACTAATAAAGAGAAAATAAATGGATGCAAGGAAAATTGGCAGTCACTCAGGGAGCATCATCAAGGTGCCAGCCACCCCCAGGATTGGGTAAAGTAGTTATTCCCCCACGCAAGGTGATAACCATTTCTACTCGCCCTTACGCTTCATTTTGAAATTGACCTTGCTATCCCTCCATTTTACCCTCTTCGTTATTACATTTCTATTTTGGCCAATAAAGACCTGGTTTTCTATAGGTGGCTGGCAAAGCCGAACGTCAAAGCCCTAAAAATATATAGATATTAAAAAAAAACAAAACCCCACAGTGTCCAGGCATGTAGAGAATGAAACCCATACAGGAAATTAAAAGGAACGAAAAGAAGTAAATGCCTTGGCCTGTTTTTCTTCCTCAAGAAACTCAGGGGTAAAATTAGCATTCAGGAGTTTTACAGTCATACCTCCAACGTTTCTCTCTTCCCAATCCTTACTTCTGGGAATGATAAAAGGTAGTCATCCCAGCTGGGTCTTTTAAACAGAGAAAACCCAATTCTATTGACATTCATCCATTCTTCCTGCAAAATTATAGGACCGCAGGGGTGACCCGCCTGCCTGCATGTCTGACTCCCTCATCTAGAATTTCCCACTTTCCAACTTTTCAGGTCCAACCTGAAATCTCTTTCGGATGGGGGATTGCCTGTTTTCTATTCTGCATGAATTATTTATATTTATTTGCAGATGAATGTGAAATTCCAATCATCATCGAGTTCTGATGATTTTAAATCAGAATCAATCCCCGATTTCTTTATTATCTCAGCTAGCTTTCATTTAGCTATGACTTTCTGAGTATCATTAATATTATTATTGCCATTAATAACAATGATTATTGATACATTTGCACCCATTACCCAAAACAGGAATCCTTTGGCCTTAAGTGGAGTGTACTTTTTAAAAAAAAACATGCCACCCGGGTCAAGAGCCTGGATGAATTATTTCTAACCAGAAGATAATGCCTCAATACATTTGGTGGTGCCTGAATTCAGAGCGTGAGAAAGATCGTACTTTTTGCTTTTAAAAAGTTCTGGATATCCCTTATGGCTCTTAACTGCTTGTGGCAGACATTAATTCAACAGGTTGAGCTTTACAACTGGGTGGTGAAGCCCCTAAGGAAGGGAAGGGGAAACCATACAGCTGTGCCTTAAATGTGGGGCAACGTTGCAGCTGGACTCCAAATGCCATGAGTCCCTGCCAGCATTGCTTATGATTGAGAGAAGATGGGGGTTGTAGTACAACAAACTCTGTCCCAGATGGAGACAGAAAATGGAGCCTCTTTTACAGCATCTTTTTTCACTGGGTAAATTTATTATCATATATTATTATCCTAATAACCATCATAATGTATTTTTGTTGTTATTATTGCCGTTATGATTATGTTTTGATTCATTAAAGAACCGAAAGAATCACTTCTTTGACTATATTTTTTGGAAATTCGACTCCCAACCTAGGAATTATCCAGGTCATTTGTAAGAAATAACAGGTGCCCGGCAAGGAGATTTTTTGGATAAATCTACAGTCGATAGATTTGAAATACTTTGCTCTTGTAAAAAATTGGTTTAATCTGTTTGTAATTCTGCAGAACGCACCAAAAGCTATAGCAATGGCCCTGCAAGATCTTTTCCGTTATCTACCCACTTCAGTCATAAGCTCTCTATATTTTGTCATTTTTTCCCCTTTTTCCCCCCCTCGATTCTGCAGTCCCTAACCTGAACAATTTAACAAGTCAGGTAATCAAGGGTACTCGATGCATATAAAGTAGGCTAAATAAAATATACAGGCTAAATAAAAACATTTTTTCGGTCCACAGGTCCTTAGGTTCCACCACCACCTGGCCATCAAGATGTCCTCGACATGCTCGCAAAGAAGGAATGGGTAGAGTGACATTTTCGACTTATTTGTGCCCAAAAGATCCTAATTTCTTTTCCATTCTTGTCCTATCTGGTGTGTTTTGTCCAGACGGCAGTCACTCCCATAACGTTTTAACCTCACATACTTCAACAACTGTTTCTATTATTATTATTATTATTATTATTATTATTATTATTATTATTATTATTATTATTATTATTATTTTTACCTGGTCAGCCGAGC